CACTCATCGAGACCTTTTATTTGAGTACCCACATCAATTTTTCATATATTTATGAATATTCTATATATGAAAAATATATCAAAAATACATGTGGGTACTCAAATAAAAGCTCTTGATGAGTGTAGCATCGGGATGAGCTTATATCTTTAAAAAAGTCAATAAGTAAAAAAGTACAGTACAATTTAACAAAAAGTGAAAAAAAAAATTTTAATAATTAAAAAACAAAATTTTATAATTTTAATAAAAAATTAATTAAATAATTTAAAAAAGTGCAAAAATTATAATATAAAATAAAAGTGGATAAAAATTTAAAAAAAAGTGAACTTAAAAAATATAAAAATGTCAAATTTAAATAAAAACTATCTCCAAAAAAAATTCAACGACAACATATACAAAGAATCAATAACCACACTGACAAATTCAAGTGACGAAATAATAAAACTCGAGAGACAATTCCGCAATGCGTACATGTTAAAATCATTAGAGGCGCAAATGGCTGAGAAAGAGGCAAATAAAATTGCCCAATCAGTGCAAGATAAATTACAAATAGATTTAATTGCTTACGAGAATAGAAAAGCGATTGAGAATGATCTTAAGAAAGCGAGCCAGATTAAAAAAGATCGTCGAGAGTGCGTTGAATATTTGCGCAAACAAATTCTCCTTAGAAAAGAAATGGCCTTAGCTGAAGAAGAACGCTTGAAGGAGGAGCGAAGAAAATTGGAAGAAGCTGATGAGGAAGTCGAGAGGATGGAAGAAGTTCAAAAGAGGGAAAAGCGGGAGTTTTTGGCGCGAAAATTTAAATATGAGAAGCAAATTGGGGACGAAATTAGGGAAATTTTGAGTGTTAAGAAGCAGGAGGAAGAAGCGGAGGCGCTGAAAAGAGATCGAATTTATCAGGAGAATCTTAATTCGAGGGTCAAAAAGTGGAAGCAGGTTTTGGAGGATAAAAAGAATGCACGCGAAGAAATGATCCGTAAAGTCTGCGAACTTCTGGAGGGAAGAATTGTTGATAAAAGCCAGGAGCTGAAGCGGGAAGAAATTATTTGCGAATTAATGGCTGAAGATATTAAGCGCGAGTTGATTGTTAAGGAGTATGAAGATTTATTGCTAAAGCGGGAGAAGAAAGCTAAGCTTAGCAAGGATCTCAAGGCTCAGGTTCTTCTAAATGTCCAGCTAGAAGACCAAGCGATTAAAAGAGAGACTCTGCTCGCGGAGCAGGTTATCAAGAGAGTTATGGAAGAGGATTATCTGGCGAGACTCACTGATCAAGCACGAAAGCGTAAACAGCGACAGTATAAAGAAGATTTAGAGAAGTTTATTGAGGACGCAAGGAGAATACGAAGAGAAATTGTGATAAGGGTTCAAGAAGAATTTGAATCGGCGGTGAGGGTTCAGAGGGAATTAAGGGAGAGGAAAATTGAGGATCATCGCAGGAGATTGATTGACCGGCATGCTATAAATGTTGCCGCTTATCTCAGAAATGGAATTTTGGGCGGGGAGATTAAGGAATATATGAATTAAATTGATGTTTATGGTGAAATAATACCGGATAGTTTGTTTTTATTTGGAAAAGTTTGTTGTTCTTATAAGTGAATTAATTTAAGTTTTGGTTTTGCACATTTGTTTTTTTAATAATATTTAGTGATTAATTTTGATATTAGAAATTTTTTTTAAATAAAATAGATTTTGATGTTAGAATATTTTTTGAGTTTGGTAAAATTAATAGAGGTGAAGAGATTTATTTAAATGTTTTTGGACACTTGAAACAATTGTTGTTTTGGATCACATTTAATAAAATGAAAGAAGAAATACACAATTTTGTTAATTTTTTTTTTTTTACTCATTAGAGTATTGAAATAATTTAAATGCTTTTAATATAAAAATAAGAGAAGAAATCAATAAAAATTTTTGGTAATATTTAAGCAACTTTTTCTTTATTTATCGAATCAAAATCTAAAAGTACCAAGTGTCTAAAAATTGTTTATCAAACACTAGAAGTGATGTTCGGGAATTTTAAACGGAATTAATATTGTTCTTATAAGTGAACTAATTTAAGTTTTGGTTTAGATGGACATTTGTTTTTTGAATTTTTAGTGATTAATTTTGATAATAGAATTTTTTTTTAATAAAATAGATTTTATGATAAATTATGATGTTAGAATATTTTTTAGTTTAGTAAAATTAATAGAGATGAAGAGATTTATTATAGCGTTTTTGGACACTTGAAACAATTGTTGTTTTGGATCAAATTTAATAAAATGAAAGAAGAAATACACAATTTTGTTAATTTTTTTTTTTACTCATTAGAGTATTGAAATAATTTAAATGCTTTTTCTTAATATGAAAATAAGAGAAGAAATCAATAAAAATTTTTGGTAATATTTAAGCAACTTTTTCTTTATTTATCGAATCAAAATCTAAAAGTACCAAGTGTCTAAAAATTGTATATCTAACCCTACACTGAAAAAAAAGTATTTTTCCTTCTAGTAAATTTATTTCTTCCGCAAAGAAACTAGTATTCTTGCGGGAAAAATAGCAAAGTTTAATCCCCACAGCAATACCTATTTTTACTGCAACAAAACTTGTTTTCACTGTCAGCAAAATACCAAAATTAAAACAAAATAAACTTAACCTTACTTAATTCACTCGAATATATCTTCGAACAATTACGGCCTATTTTATTTTTTAATTAATAAACTATAAACAATTGCAGATATTTATTGATAAATATTAACCAACACTTTGATAACTGTGTAAAGACATATTTTTTTAACGTTTAACAATTTGTAAACAAACAGCTGCTTTTTGCATAACAATTACCAACACAAAGTCAAAATTAGGAAATTTACGGTGCCATCATTACTTTTGGTGTGCTATAATATGGGGTATCAGTCCCAGGATTAAAGTTGGTATTGCTTTGGGGATTATACCAATTTTTACAGTACCAATAAGTACTTTCTTTCAATACTTTGTATTCTAGAAAGAAAAAAATTTTTTTTCAGTATAGAACCCTTTAAAAAAATTAGAATGTTATCATAAAAATACGCAGATGTTTGCTTAAAAATTCAGTGCCATTAATAATAAAATAAAGTCGTCAATAGAAGTACAAAAGTGTGAAACTAAAATAATTTTCAGATAATTAAAAACCGAAAGTGGAAATTAAACGGTGAATTAGACACGATGGGATGGATACGGTTATGAGGGGCTTACTCAACTCTATACGGTAAATATTGAGGACCTGATTTATGGATAAATTTACTGACATGACGTATCAGTGGGGTGTATTATCGAGATCAAAACGACCGGCACAGCCGACTGACAGCAGATGTGAGCATTGTCGCTTCAGTGACTCGATCCCTTATGGCCAGTGTTGATAAATAAGCCTACATCTATATACATACATACATATATAAGTGTTATAGCATTATATTATATCAGCAGACTGACATACGGATCTCGTTTACTTCAGGTAAAAATTTTGTGCATATGCTATATTCGTTTATTATTATTTTCTCCTTTCTTCTTTCTTTTTTTCATCCGGTAATTTAGCGATAGTCTGTTTGTTCAGCTTATATACTTTATATACAAGCCAACTTTTTGTTTGATTTTTAAATTAACTTCAATATTTTTGTTAAAATTTAGAGCTTAAATTTTTTTATATATTTAATTTAAATTATTAATAATTTATTAATTTATCAAAGTATTTTTTTTTTATAGTAGAATAATCAATAATGATTATATTTATTATTTTTATACAGTAAAAAGAAAAAAAATAAAAGAATTTATCAGCATGCAGTAATTATGATGAAGGGATTATTATTGTTTGAAATATTGATGTTACAACCGGTCAATAGTTATCACTATTATCAAAGATCAATCCGGAATGGGTAGACGATCAGGTGATAAATTATTTGCATGTTATATTTTTATATATTTATTTATAAGTTTATGTAATTTTTATTTATTTTTTTATTATTATTATTTATCAATTTATAATTAAAAGTAGAAAGAAATTAGTTATAATGATAATAATAATGATGATGACTAAAAGAAAAACATTTTTGGAAAAATGAATAATAAAAAAATAATTATCAAAAATTAATGATAATAATAATAATAATTAAGCATTATTGTTATTATTATAATTTTTTTTTTAATGTAATTTATATTATAAACTGTTTATTTATATCGATTAATTTATAGTATTAATTTAAAAATAAAATGCAGGCGCGTGGTCCAGAGGATCTAATAAAAAAAGTGTCTTATTTTACACGACTGACTGCGGAGGTGAAGACGAGAATGAAGATATCGCGCTAAGTCTACAGCAGCGTTCAGCTTCACTGGTAATTTATTTGTCTTATTATAAATAAATCTATCGATAAAAATTTAACGCTCAAGTGATAAAAATTTAAATACTAAAAACATTTGAACATATACTACTACTATTATACTTATTTAGAGAAAGATATTTCGCATCTCATGCACATGGGAGTTTCCTTGGCTTTCAATTTATGATTAATGATTCTCAAGATCATATACTATGAGAAAATAATAAATGACTTTTAGAAGTAACGCTTAGAAGTTTTAAAATGAAAAATTTTACTTACAGATGTTTCTATGATATTTAAAAATTAAAAAAAAAATTTTTTAACCTTATAAGGTAAAATCCCTAATTATTGACACTATAAGAGACAAAGTTTTGATTTGATTTTTTTTAAGCAATCAAATATAAATATCGTTGAATTTTGTTTGTGGTAATGTCTCAAATAATGTTTTTACTAATCAAATTTTTTAAAATGATAATACACCAATGATGATACACCAATTATTGGCAGGTTAAAAAACTGATTGATCTAATTATTGACATACCTTCACCCCAATTATTGACACCTATACTAAGCATGCCTACAATCATCAGCTTATTCTTATTTATCCAAACTTATTATTAAGTAATCAATTTTATTAAAGTTTATTAATAAGAATTTCCATAAATGATTAATTACTTTTAAAAATATAAAAATTTATTTAAAAATAATTTATTTAATCAGAAGAGTTCAAACTCTTACAGTTAATTTTTTAGATTAAAGTCTAAAAAAGGCGTGATAGCACTGTCGAATGGCTGTCAATATGAGATTCAACTTAAAAATTATCAACTAGTTATTGACACCCATTATTTAAATATTATAAAGCATACAATTAATTTCGATTATTCAATTTTATAAATTTTTCATATATTGTTAATTAAAAAAAAAAATAGATGGTATTATTAGATGAAGAAATGGATTTAAACTCGGCATTTAAAAAAAATGCTTTTCTAATCAAAGTTGTTAAGAAAATAAACGTTCGTAAGCTGGTTTTAACTGGAGGTAACTTTATTTTTTAATAATTAATATTTAATATTAACTGACAGTAATTTTTTTCAATTTTTTAATTAATTAGAATTTAATAAAAATTTATATGATAGTTATGCTTATTACAGATGATTAAATATATTTAAAAATAATTTAGGGTGTCAATATTTAGACCCCTGTCAATAATTGGGGCTTTTACCTTATTTTTTTTTGCTATTTAAAACACTAAATTTAACCAAATAATTATTAAATAATAAATCATTTATTTATTTAATAATTTTATTTCTTCACCCATATATCACCTTATATATATACATAATAGGACTTTGTTTCCGCTGATACAATCCCACGTGTATCGTACCCAGGAAACACGGGCGAGTTACCGCGTTAATCACCACGCGCCGTTGAGTACTAAAAATATTCCATCTACCTATGTTTCTTTTTTAATTTCTTCATATTAAATTACATCCACTTACAAAGTCGTCCCAAGAATCTTCCCTCGATTACGCGGACTCTAAAAACCCCATTAAAATTATCGAGGATATAAATTGCAACATGTTGCAGAGAAAATATTTTTTTTGTCTACATCTCCAAATTACAGCCATAACTAATAATCATACTTACTTACTATTTTTAACTACAGACGGCGCTGCATAGCGTGGAGCCAGCAGTTTCGTCGCAGCAATTTCTGCTACAGGAGCCCAGAATGGCGCAATTGGAGACTTTGGAGGCTAAGGTAACACGCAACTTAAGTTAGTTAAGAATTACCCGCATTATGTATGAAATATAAACACTTGTATATATATTATCTAACGAGTATTTTTGTGGGAAAAAAAAATTATAATGCAAGATTGTGTGTAATTTATGCTGTGAAGAGCTGGAGTGAGATCCACGCATATATTATAGGTTAGATATTAATGCAATGGCGGCAGAAGTTGCAAGAGGGGGTATGATATTTTTTGTTTTGTTCAGTTTCTTTAAATTGGCAATGAGAGGTGAGAATAAAGGTGATTTATGTGGTTATTTATGGAGATGATGTATTATATCGAAACCGCGAAAGTAGTATATTATGCAGCTTGTCTGCTATGATCTCTATAAGAAGGCCGGTTTTGGTTAAGAAATTAGCGAACCAATGGCGTATTCATAGAATTTATTTCTTCTTTTTTTAATTTCAATTTATTGAAATTTTTTATAGATTTTATAATTGATATTTTGATTTAATTAGTTAGAAGAATTTTTTAAATACATTTTTTAGCGTTATAAATATTAAATAACAAAATTTAGAAGTTTAAAATGACAAAAAATGATGATTGATGTCTTTAGAACGTAATTGAGGACCTGCGCATGCGCTAGAACGGTTCCAGCGCATGCGCGCAGAATCGAAGCAATTATAAACCCACGAAATATTTAAAAAGAGAATTTCATTTATTTTTGACTATTGATTTGTAATAATTTTGAATTATTACTAAAGAAAATTGTTAATTGAAAGAAAATATAAAAAGAATGTAAGAATATGATAAAAAATTACAATTTTTTTAGTAGATAGTAATTTAAAAGAGTTTTTTCCGTTGGTGTTTATATATTGTAAATAATACTAAAAATAACAAATTTTTTGGGCTAAATTTAGAAAAAAATAGAAGATTTATGTCTTTAGAACCTGATTTTAGATCTGCGCATGCGCTAGAACGGTTCCAGCGCATGCGCGCCAATTTTATGCAATTTCAAACCACGAAATTTTAAAAATAGACTATTTTATTTACTTTTGACTGTTGATTTGTAAAAAAATTAAATTATTACTACATAAAATTGTTAATTGAAAGAAAATGTATATTAAGATTGTAATACGATAAAATTTGGCGGTAAAAAATTACAATTTCTTTTAGTATACAATAAATTGAATGATTTTTTACTTTTTTTTGTTTATTAATTGTAAATACTAATTTTTTTTTAACAAATCTAAAAAAAATAGAAGGTTTACGTCTTTAGAACTTGATTTAAGATCTGCGCATGCACTAGAACGGTTCCAGCGCATGCGCGCTGATTCTACGCAGTTTAAAACTACAAACCTTATAAAAATTAACAGTTTTATTGATTTCTAATTAATATTAATAATTAATATTTAATATTAAAAAAAAACTAAAGAATTATTGATTAAAATTTCTAAACTTTCTCTGTAAATTTAATCTTCTCCAGCAAAATTTCCAAGAAACGCGTCCAACAGAGCCAACATTATTAAAGATTAACATATTAGTTTTCAATTTCCTTTATGCGAAAACAATTGCCAAGCTGATGTAATATAACGCGAGTATAATGCACTGCCTATATTGCATATTATACACATATATTGTATATTGTATCCAAGATAAATTGAATAGCTTCTCAGGCCATAAACCCAGACTACATACGCCCTTGCAAGTTCTATATCCACTATTATTCAGAAACCGCCTGTATTCGATACGAAGATCCGAGATCTCCCAAACAAGATTACACCTTGGATTCCGTACAACAAAGTCACTGACCTTTTTACCTGCGCTCATTTCCGAAACCGTTGAATGTGAAACCATATTAATGTTTTAACATTCGAAATTTCTCACCTTTTATCTCGTCTTCTTTCTTCCGTTTTTTGTTAATTTAAGCCCGACATTTGAAACATTAAAAATCCCTTTGAAGTCTATATAAGTATTCAAAAAGTATCTTTTTGATCTCACTGTAAAATAATCCCTTGATTTAAATACTGTTTGCAGACATCCAGTGTACTCTTTAGTTTCAGTTTGTATTTATATAGTTTATACTGCACATATCCTTTCCTTTGTCTCAAAGTCTAAAATTACACTCGGTACTTTGTGGAGGTAACACCTAGTATTAAAGCCGTGTGATGTTATATGTTCCGCAGCCTGTGGACAGTTCGTAAACTTTTCTCACATCTTTGTCTATTTTAATATTCAGATTTTGTTGAAATAATTTATATTATTATGTATCATCATCATTATTGTTATTGTTATTATGTGAAACGGGATGTTTTTATTGTAGTAAATATTTTTTTATTTCTCTAAAATATTTTCGTCCTAAACTTCAGAGACTAAGTTAAAGAACAACACGGTGCCGACAAAAGTCAGCCATGAATTTAGTATTAGAAATTACATTGAAACGGCACAGTCGATTAATTAAAATTTTTATGCAAAATAAAATGAACTAAATGATTTCCACACTTAATAAAAAGTTAACTTGATTAAAGAAAAAAATCTTGAACCTAGAATAACATTTTGAAGAAAATAATTGTCTTGGACGCGTAATAATTTTGTTAAAATAACAAAAATCGGGATATTTGAAAAATATGTTGGAGTAATAATTGAGTATACTTTTAGCAACAAATTCATTAGTTCCCTTAACAATCATTAGTCAAGTTTGATTTTTTTAGGACAACAAAATAATTTAGCTAGCGTTACTCTGGTCATTCTGTTGGAGTAACAAAATAATTTTGTTGCTGTAACAAAGTGATTTTGTTGGCATAACAAAGTGATTTTGTTGCCAAAAATAGTTGTGAAATTCTGAGGAGCTTTTCTCAAAAATTGTCATTAAAGTTGTAATTTACAATTTTGTTTATTATTATAACAATTTAAAAATCCTGGATGTGGTTGACTCCAAAGGCTATCCCTGGAACTTTCTGTTATATTAAAGTTCAAAACGCTCAAAAACTTTTCTTTAGCAAAGTTAGTAGCTCTTGAAGCTAAAAATCTAACTTCGAGCGCGAAAATCTAGTTACTGTGTTGGAAAAATGTTTTTGAGAAAATTTAGCTAACAAAATTATTAGTTAATTGTCGAAAATAATTAAGCTATTTCAACAACGACATTTGTTATACCAACTGACTGGTTTATGTTGAACAAATTGTTATTTAAACAAATCGATTTGTTCATTAAACTAAATTATTTTGTTGAACTAAAAGATTCTACTGTACCAAAACTGTTTTTTTATAACTTATAATCTAGACTTTTTTATCATAACATATGATTTGTTATTCCTATCAAAAAACATCTCTACATTTATATATTTTATAACTTGTAATTTAAAGAAAGGAAAACTTGAGAAGAAAAATTTTGTATAATTAATTTTATTTGCCTAAAGTTTGACAGGAATAATTAGAATGATTTAATCATTTTTGCGTCTTAAGTTTTGAGGCAACAAAAAATTAATGCACTAATAAATTTTCACCGGAAAAAATTCAAAGGTCAGAGAAGAAACAGATTTTTTTGCATCTGCAATAAATTGTCGCAAGTTGCCGGCAACAAAAAGATTTATCTTGAGAGTATGACGCATTAAATTTTCTAGAATCTTAAAATGAAAATGCCTGGAATTATTTTTTGTTGAAAATTCAAATTGGAATTTTATAATTTTGACAAGAATATTTTATTTATATTGGAATTTTATTTTATAAGTATCAAGTTTATAATAAATAACGTGATTAATGGAAAATGCGGCGCATTATTCAGAAAAAGCGATACCTTTGACGAGGAACATCCTTTGAGATACAAATAAAATTAATTTAAAAATTTATAAAAAATATACTTTCAGATGGCGAGCATCGAGGTTTCCCTGTCTACCACAACACCTAGAAGGAAAAAGGGTGGAAGTCTTACCGGTGCAATAACCTTGTCTGCCGGTCACAAGAACAGAGATTACTATAAAGAGGTCGACGCTCTTAGGGTTGCCCTTCGGGACAAGGAAAACGTTATTCAAACGTATGTACTTATACTGCAATTGAATACAATTGTTGTAATGACCCTTTCTTGCAAGAAATAAACTCTACGGGGAATTCAAAAAAGATTCTGCATGCCCCCACAAAAAAAAAAAAACATAAAATGCTAATATATTTTTAAAAATGTACCTGAATTTTTTTGATAAATTTTTTACTTGAAAAGATTAAGAGTTACTTTACAAAATCAACTCGGATTATCCTTTTAGCCGTTTTAAAAACTATCCACTTAGTAAATTAAATTAATTACACGGTAGTTAATATTCTTACGGCTATTTTTATTATTATGGTGGCTAATAAAAGTAAAATAAAATTTCAGTCTCAAGAGCCAACTGTGTAATAATCTAAGTAATCGACTAGCTTTAAGAAATGGAGTAATTCAAAGCCCGCTTAATGAAACCGATAGAAAAGCCACTGAGGAGCGAGTTAATAAGCTGGAACGAGAGGCCGATAATAAACGGCTGGCCATTAAAAATCTTAAGCTTGCTTTAGAGAGGCTAGACATTACCGAGTAAGTTTACTTTTCGTTTATTATATTATTATGTTAAAAGTTTATTATGGTTGTTTTTTAAAGAATTCAAGGCTAAAAAATCTTTTCTTCTTTGTAATAAACTTGAAACTTTGCCATTAAACCGTGCAGAGAATTTTGTGGGATGAAAAATGATTTAAGAAGAAATAATAAATTGTTCTTTTTAGCAACATTGACACAAGGATTCAACAAGCGGAATTAGAATATCGATTAGGCCGAGAAGAATTGGAGCTACTCTCGGTGATGGAAGAAATGAGAGCACTGCAAGCGGCATTGGAGTTTGCAGATACTCAAGAGAAGCAAAAAAATGACTCTATTTTTAGGTAATTATTATGCCATTGATCATCGATTATCTATTAAATGGTACATTATCCTCAGTACTAATTATTAACTATCACAATCGTATCATAAAAGAATTATACTTACGAAGATATTATTCACTGATCACATTAGATATAATAGGCTTTCTGTTATAATTATATTTATCGGTGTAAATATAGTTTTCTATATTAGACCGGGATTAAAGAGATTAATATAATTATAGACTTATTTTTGTTACTGTAAAGTTGGAATAATTCTGCTTTTATTTACTTATTAACAATGCTGTTAAAAGTTATAAGTAAGTATGAAATGGGAGTTATATAAATAGAATAATAAGAATTTTATTCATTTCTTTTGTAAAAGAAAGAAGAAATGTTAAAAAATTAGAAAGATTAGTATTTGCGCGTACTGCGCAAATATAGGAAATTATTTCTTCCCAGAAAACAAAATGTTGAGAGAAGATTTTTACAGTAAAAATACGTATTGGTACTGTAAAAATTGGTATAATCCCCAAAGCAATACCAACTTTAATCCTGGGACTGATACCCCATATTATAGCACACCAAAAGTAATGATGGCACCGTAAATTTCCTAATTTTGACTTTGTGTTGGTAATTGTTATGCAAAAAGCAGCTGTTTGTTTACAAATTGTTAAACGTTAAAAAAATATGTCTTTACACAGTTATCAAAGTGTTGGTTAATATTTATCAATAAATATCTGCAATTGTTTATAGTTTATTAATTAAAAAATAAAATAGGCCGTAATTGTTCGAAGATATATTCGAGTGAATTAAGTGAGGTTAAGTTTACTTGGTTTTAATTTTGGTATTTTGCTGACAGTGAAAGCAAGTTTTGCTGCAGTAAAAATAGGTATTGCTTTGGGGATTAAACTTTGCTATTTTTCCCACAAGAATACTAGTTTCTTTACGGAAGAAATAAATTTACTAGAAGGAAAAATACTTTTTTTTCAGTGTAGGGTCAGATATACAATTTTTAGACACTTGGTACTTTTAGATTTCGATTCGATAAATAAAGAAATAGTTGCTTAAATATTACCAAAAATTTTTATTGATTTCTTCTCTTATTTTCATATTAAGAAAAAGCATTTAAATTATTTCAATACTCTAATGAGTAAAAAAAAAAATTAACAAAATTGTGTATTTCTTCTTTCATTTTATTACATTTGATCCAAAACAACAATTGTTTCAAGTGTCCAAAAACAGTAAAATAAATCTCTTCATCTCTATTAATTTTACCAAGTTAAAAAAATATTCTGACATCAAAATTTCATCATAAAATCTATTTTATTAAAAAAAATTCCAATATCAAAATTAATCACTAAACCAATAGTCCATATCTAAACCAAAAATTAAATTAAATCACCTATAAGAACAACATTAATTCCGTTTCCAAATCCAGAACATCATTTCTAATATTCTTCCCTCCAACTTCTTAATCTCCCAAGCCAATAACAAAATTAGTAAGAAATATGTTCACTAGGAAGAAAAATAAATCTTTCACTTACTTCCAATTTTTTTAATTTCAGCTGCATAAACGAAGCCCGGGGAACAAAGTCAATGAATTTGTCAGTGTTTGCCATAGAAGTGAGCGCTGATCCCAAAAGCCCAAGATTTGGAGCAGGTCTACGAGACAATGCTCCTGGATTGTATGTCGATTGGGCAGTCGAGGACTCTGGTCTCCAGAAAGAAGATAGGTAAACTGCCAATTAACCACGTTTTACTTTTATCGATCTTCTTCATACAATATTCTCAACTCTATATAACGAGCTTCTAAGCATACAAAAATATCTTTTTGAAAAATTTCATCATCTTAATTTAAGTAGAAAAATTTTTGAACTGAGAAATTTCTTCATTTAAATAAATTTCTCTTGATTCAAGACAAATTCTTCAAAATAATTTTTTTGGTTCTAAATAAATTTTTTTTCACAACAAAAAATACGGAAATTTAAATAATAAAAAATAGAAGTAATTATATTTGAGGTTAACTTTCCACTTGAAACAATAAGACGTTTGTTTTCAGTGCTTAACAATAATAATAAAAATATTCATTAGCATCAATTATAAGAATTAACACCACATTAACGGTACAATTAGCGTTTACGTTTAAAAACAAAGAGAACAATAATTCCCACTGATGTTTTTAATATCTCCGTAAAAATATAAACAAAGCCGGAAGTGTACTGTAAGCTCATAAATTATGCTAAAGTCACTTGTCAGTTTTGAACTTATGACAGAATAATGGATAATAATGAGAAGAAATCTTTTTACGATTTACCGTTATAGTCGGTTAATTATTATTAATGCTTTGGTTATGATTGTCATGAATAATGAAATATTTTCGTTAGCGGGTTAATAATTAAAAAATTTGCATACATTTTTAATGGACGCGTTGTTAGGTATTAAAGCATTATATTGTTTTATCGGAAAATAGTATGAATGTATAGCTGACACACGAATAATTTGAAACGCATGGGAAGCTACCTTTGCATGTTCGAATGCTCAAAATGACGCATGCAGGTATCTATTTTTATTGTATAATTCGTCGAGGGAAATTTTTTTGTTTTCAGTATTTTTAGATACTTTATAATCAATGCAAATTAAATTATTTATTTTTGCAGTTATTGAAGAAACTGATGTTTATTTTGAAATAATACCGGATAGTTGGTTTTTATTTGGGAAAGTTTATTCTGGATTTGTAAACGGAATTAATATTGTTCTTATAAATGAATTAATTTTAATTTTGGTTCTGGACATTTGTTTTTTTAATAATCTTTAGAGATTAATTTTGATATTGGAATTTTTTTTAATAAAATAGATTTTATGATGAAATTTTGATGTTAGAATATTTTTTTAACTTGGTAAAATTAATAGAGATGAAGAGATTTATTTTACTGTTTTTGGACACTTGAAACAATTGTTGTTTTGGATCAAATGTAATAAAATTAAAGAAAAAATACACAATTTTGTTAATTTTTTTTTTTACTCATTAGAGTATTGAAATAATTTAAATGCTTTTTCTTAATATGAAAATAAGAGAAGAAATCAATAAAAATTTTTGGTAATATTTAAGCAACTTTTTCTTTATTTATCGAATCAAAATCTAAAAGTACCAAGTATCTAAAAATTGTATATCTAACCCTACACTGAAAAACAAGTATTTTTCTTTCTACTAAATTTATTTCTTCCGTAAAGAAACTAGTATTCTTGTGGGAAAAATAGCAAAGTTTAATCCCCACAGCAATACCTATTTTTACTGCAGCAAAACTTGCTTTCACTGTCAGCAAAATACCAAAATTAAAACAAAGTAAACTTAACCTCACTTAATTCACTCGAATATATTTTCGAACAATTACAGCCTATTTTATTTTTTAATTAATAAACTATAAACAATTGCAGATATTTATTGATAAATATTAACCAACACTTTGATAACTGTGTAAAGACATATTTTTTTAACGTTTAACAATTTGTAAACAAACAGCTGCTTTTTGCATAACAATTACCAACACAAGGTCAAAATTAGAAAATTTATGGCACCATCATTACTGTTCGTATGCTATAATATGGGATATCAGTCCCAGGATTAAAGTTGGTATTGCTTTGGGGATTATACCAATTTTCACAGTACCAATACGTATTTTTACTGTAAAAATCCTCTCTCAACATTTTGTTTTCTGGGAAGAAATAATTTCTTATATTTGCGCAGTACGCGCAAATACTAATCTTTCTAATTTTTTAACATTTCTTCTTTCTTTTACAAAAGAAATGAATAAAATTCTTATTATTCTATTTATATAACTCCCATTTCATACTTACTTATAACTTTTAACAGCACTGTTAATAAGTAATAAGAGTAAGTAAATAAAAACAGAATTATTCCAACCTCACAGACAGCTTGCAATATTTACGACCTTTCAATATTTAATCCTTAAAGTTAGAAACTTAAATTTAATACACTTTCCGGAACTTTATGAACCTTTATAACCTCAAAGTTTACAAACTCCGCTTCTAACTTAACAGAACAAGAAACTAAAATAAATAATTCCTCTCGTATAATATGTAGTATATATTTTCATCACAAATATTAAACTTAATTGAATTAAATAAAATTTATGGCTGTAGTAATATTTATATTTAATGTAACAGATTGTTGGAAGTTAACGGAAAGCTGGTGGTGACTGCGTCAGCTGCAGATTTGTCAAGATTACTGGCAGTCACCCCCGAAGCGGCACATATAGTCGTTCTGAGAAAAACTAATGACTCATTAGCGGCATTACGAGCCCTCAGATCGGAAAATCTTCGTCTTAATCATCGCATTAGTTATCTGGAAGAGCAAGTACGTGACTTGCTATCATCCCCTGTAAGAAAAGTCTCCCCTGTTATCGATTCAACGGCTCATCGACCAGACGTTCAAGTAAGTTGATTTTGATTGGTTGCAAGTTATAAGTCAAAGGTCTAATGGTTATTTTAGATTAAAAAAATTTTGCCGGAAAAATAATGCAGGAAAAATTCATAATTTGAAAATAAAAATTTTTGAACTAAGAAAATTATTAAGAAATTTTTTGTCTAATAAAGAAGAAAATTTGTTTTATAAATTAATTTTTTTGAAAGGAAAAAAATAGTTTTTGAAGTTAAAAGAGGTACCTTGTTCCGAAATATATTAATTAAATTTTAGACTTTTTCATCTTTAAATCAAGATAAATTTCTCAGTTCAAAAATTTCAAGTTAATAACTCAAAAATTTTGATATTTGATCAAAAATTTAAATTTTGGACGTTCAAGATTGTTTTTTTAATTTCTATCAAATAATCTTTTAGCTTCATTTAGTCTAACTCATTTTGAAGAGACAAAATAATTTTTGATGTTTGATTAAAAAAAAAATTTTGATCAGTTACATTTTTAAAAATTTGTTTAAAAAAAATTTTGACCTTTCCAAAAGTTTGTATTTAAATTCCCTAACTAAAAAAAATTCTAAATTTCCCAAAAAAATAAAAATAAAATTTTTCAATTTTTTCTCCTTATAAATAAAGAATTAAAAAAATTTTTTTTCTGCATTAAATATATTCAGGTCTTCCAAAAAGGCCCGCAGATGTCGCTAATAACAGGGAAGAAAACAATGCAGAGTTTATCACCGTCATTAAAATTAAATAGTCCCGAAACTCGTGAACAAAGTTTGCCGTCTTACCCCACAAAATCGACGCGAAGTGATGGTAATTTGCGCACGCGAAGACATTCAACAGATTTGCTATCATCTTCATCGCCGAACTTCAACAAATTGCAGTCAGATTTAAACTACAAGCTGATGTCGAGTAAAAACCAGCGAAAGAGCTCAGACCGGGAAGGAAAATTGAGCTCGCGAGTATCTTCAGCAGCGGAAGCTCTGGATTATTATCCGGATAATGATCAGTATCACCAGAGGCGGAAAAGCAGCACAAGTTTAGCTTGCTATCAATTAGGATTAACCTCCTCGGCAATTGAATTTGATTCAGAGCCAATCTACTATCGGGAGTGCGGAAACAACCGCGGTAATGAAGACACGCAATCAACTTGCTCGAGTTATTTAATTACGGAAAACCTCGGCAGTATGGAGGAGCATAATAAGAGACCTCCATTGACGGTGATGCCAATTGGAGTCCCTAAGAAACCTCTCAGACTCTCATTACACCGCGCTACAAGTCTTCAATCTGTCGAGAGTGCACCGCCCACGCTTTCGACAGCTGCAGCTTCTGCTGCTAGGAAGTCCCTTAAAAGAAACTATCACGATGACGCGGGAAATGGCCTGCTGGAAAATCATCACAAGAATAGACTCGAGATTTTTAATGCTGATAGGAAGAATTATTATGATACTGATTGTTACTCGCAAACTTCTTCCGCTTCTACTTCTCAGCTTCATGTTCTGAAAACTGCTAATTCAAGGACTGAATTAACGGGGAAGAACAATCAGTGGACTCCTCCTAAGTCCAGGAGGTCCAGGTCACATTTTTCTTCCCTTACTATGAATAAGTGGTGTTGATTTTTTATACCAAATTAGATTTTTTAGGTTTATTTATAAGATTTTTTTATTGTACATTTTTTATAATAATATAAGTTTGAAATTTAAATTGGAATTATTTTTTAATAATTAATTATAGCAAGAAACATTTTTTTAATTATAAATACTGCTTTTTATTATTTTTTAGACTTGATTTATTTTTTATAAAATTTCAAGTGTAATTTAAAGGTAATAAATTTTTTTTTAATTTTATAAAAAATTAAGTTTGTTAACAAAAAAAATTTATAATTACTTTATTTATTAATAAGAAAAATATTTTTTAAAAATTAATTATAATTTTGATTGTTAGAAAAAAAATTAATAAATGTCTAAATTTTAATTTTTCATTTTGAAAATAAAAAATTCCTAATTAAATTCTTTTAAACTAAATATACAATTAAAAATTTCAAGTATTGTCTTAAATATTGACATTTTTAAAGATATAAGCTCATCCCGATGTTACACTCATCAAGACCTATCATTTGAGTACCCACATGGATTTTCATATATTTTTCACATATAGATATATATAAATATATAAAAAATTGATGTGGATACTCAAATGAAAGGTCTCGATGAGTGTAATGTCGGGATGAGTTTATATCTTAAAAAATGTCAATATTTCACGAGATACAAGGTCATTTCTTAATTATTGACATTTTTAAGATATAATTAAAGAAAATTTATTATAACTTTGATTGTAAGAAAAAAAATTAATATATGGCTTTAAATTTAAATTTTATATTTTGAAAATAAATAATTTCTAATTAAATTTTTTTAAATTAACTATACAATTAAAAATTTCAAGAATTTTTTAGTTAAAAACAAAAATTATAAAGGCATTTTTTTAAAAATTATTTTTTATGTCTAGTTTAATTAAAAAAAAGTCTTTTAACTGTTTTCTTATCGAAGGGGTGTAATGACGATAAATTATTAATAATAGTAATTTTTAAATAAAAAAGAAAAAAAGGAAATCAATTAATCGAAAAATTAATTAATTAATTAATAAAATTGTAACTCAATAGAATATAGTTTAAATCCAAATATTAGTTCAGTGTCTACCGCTAGGGTGCGCACGGTAGCGCTTCGCGCTCGCAAGGAGAGCAAGGCTTCTCGGTTTTATAACCCAAATTTTGCAGCGAATAATTTTATTTTTCTGAAAATACATTTTATTATGATGACTTGAACAAAGTAGAATTTCCGAAAGTCTTGATTAATTATTAAATGTAGAAATTTCATTGTAATTTCAATTACATTGTAAATAAATTTAAATTAAATTTGTTTTTTCTATAATAATTTAATTTTTATGAAATTATAGAATTTCTATAAGTCCTTGAAAAATTGTAATAGAAAGAAAAGTGAAAGTAATACATTTTATAAATTTAAAATAAAAAGATTTATAAAAAAAATTTCTAATTAAATTTCCAACTAAAAATTTTAATTTTATTAAAATGAAAAAAAATAATTCAAACAGTTACTTGAAATTTTTACCGATAGCTGCTGCCATCTAGCACTGAGTACAGCTAATAACTAGATAATGATGACTGCTAAATTCATGTAATCAATGGCTTGACATATGTCAAAACTTGACTCCAAAAAAAACCAACAAATGAACAATAATTAATCGGGAATTTCGTCCAAAGTGTTCATAAGTTTAAAAATACTACTCTAATAAAAAAAAAAAAAAAAGACGAAAAAAACAAGTGTTAGCTGGCGATTGAGGGACTAGAAAGCAATGTCAATAAAATGAAGTGTCAGTGATGCGTTTAAAGGGGAAAAATGACACCAAGTCATTTCACAGCGTCTATAAGATGCTTTCTCGTATATGCAGTGAGTTTTCTTCATTAATTAATTACTTTTACAGTAAAAAAAAAGAAAAAAACTAAATCATTGATTTTTATGAATCATGTCTCATGTTTGTATTTTTCAGCTACGTCACAGGTTATTTTTCTTTGTTGAATGCTTAATGACAATGACAGTAGCAGACACTCCAATATTTACCAATTTTTATATTTAATTTCATTAAATAATAATTAAAAAATTCTATATTATATATTTTATTTTAATTTTATTTTGATAATTAATTTTATTTTAGAACATCATGATAATTATATTAAGTTAGACGCCAGTCAATGATTAATTAAATTATGACAATTAAGCAAAAGACAAACTTTTAACAACTACTTGCAAATTATTAAAGGAAATTTATAATTATCAAACTGATAATATTTATCTTTAAAAAAAATTACTTGATAAAATATTCAGAATTTTTAGAAAAATTTGTTATTTATATAATTGACTCTAAAAAATATCAAAATTGATTTTTATTTATCATTTTTAATAAATTCATATCAACAACCAACCTTGCAGTCACTACGTGACTGCTGTGACTTGTAGACAATAAATAAACAAAATTTTGGTTAATTAAATAATGACTTTTATCAAATTGCACTGTACTTTCGTAAATATTAAAGTTTTTAAAGATATAAGCTCATCCCGATGTTACTCTCATCAAGAGCTTTCATTTGAGTACCTACATGGATTTTTGATATATTTTTCATATATACGTATATATAACATATATTTTAAAGATATAAGCTCATCCTGATGTTATACTCATCAAGAGCTTTCATTTGAGTACCCACATGCATTTTTGATATATATTTTTCATTTATACATATACTATATAATATATATAAAAATATATATAAATATTTGAAAATTTGATGTGGGTAGTTAAATGAAAGCTCTCGATAAGTATAACATCAGGGTGAGTTTATATCTTTAAAAATGTCAATAGTTGACCAGATACAATGTAATTTTCTAATTATTGACATTTTTTAAGATATAAACTCATTTCGATGTTACACTCATCGAGAGCTTTCATTTGAGTACCCACATCAATTTTTCATATATTTTTCATATATTCATATATATCATATATATAAATATATAAAATAAATAAAAAATTGATGTGGGTACTTAAATGAAAGGTCTTGAAGAGTGTAACATCAGAATGAGCTTATATCTATAGAAATGTCAATATCTCACAAGATACAAGGTCATTTCTTAATTATTGACATTTTTTAAGATATAAACTCATTTCGATGTTACACTCATCGAGACCTTTCATTTAAGTACATGACATTTTTCATATATTTCATATATATGGTATTTGTAAAATATATAAATATATAAAATATATGAAAAATTGATGTGGGTACTCAAATGAAAGCTCTCGATGAGTATAACATCAGGATGAGCTTATATCTTTAAAAATGTCAATAGTTCACAAGATACAAGGTCATTTCCTAATTAAGTATCTAGAGATCCTAATCTTATCCTCAAAAAATCTTAAAATTCAATTAAATAAATTAATTATTTTAAATCAAAATATTAATTAATAAAAAATCAGCTACTTTCCTGCCGTCCATTGTTACAAAAACAGAACAAGCAAAAACTAATTCCTAATTACATAATAATATTACAGGAGCCGTGGACAAGGGTCAGTTGGACGGCTTAATGTCAGATGGACGAGTACAACCCTTAAAAGCTCATAACTCCCAGACAATGGGTTTCTCATCACAAACAATGCGCCAGCAGCAGCAGACAGACGCTAATTCGGGTAAAGTATATCCAGTAAATAGTTACGAGTCATGTGTAGAGCTTCAACAAGCTAATGAAGTGCCTGGTAAAGTATTCACGGCGGGTCAGTACGCGGCGAAGGTGCTCAGAAATTTAAACGACCAGCGACTGAAGAACCAGTTCAGCGACGTGGGCCTGGTCGCTGGAGACAGCATCATCAGGGCGCACAGATCAGTATTGGCTGCTGGCAGCGCCTACTTCAATGCGATGTTCACCGGGGGCCTGGTGGAGGAGCAGCAAGAACTGGTGGAGATCCACGCGATCTCTCCGAGCATTCTTGCGCTTCTCGTCGACTTTATCTACACGGGTAACGTCGATATCACCCAAGACAATGTCCAGGAGCTCTTCGCAGCTGCTGATATGTTCGAGCTGGATGAGGTCGTCGCGGGATGCATCTCTTATCTCCAGCAACAGCTACATTATTCTAATGCCCTTGGAATTTATCGGTAAGTTGACAAAGTCAACTAAACGGTAATTGCTGATCTTTGTCTCTTATCAACATTTTATCATTTGCTTTTAGATTTGCTGAAGCTCACAATCGAATAGATCTCATGGAGACTGCCTTACGATTCATCGAAGTCAATTTTCCTCAGGTCTCCCAGGAAGAAGAGTTTCTTGATTTATCAAAAGAATATCTTGTTCATTTTCTTAGTAGTGAATATATTCATGTTGATACTGAATTTCAGGTTTGTCTTTTACTTATGTCATCACTTTAATTTTTTTAAGTAGTTAAATTGAATTTAATTAGTTTAATTGAGAGAGTTTGTTGGGAATTTTTATAAGAAAAATTTTGTGTCATAGTCATTAAAATCATTAAAATATCTCTAGATACATAATTAAGAAATGACCTTGTATCTTGTGAACTATTGACATTTTTAAAGATATAAGCTCATCTCGATGTTATACTCTTCGAGACCTTTCATTTGAGTACTCACATCAATTTTTCATATATTTTGTATATTTATATATTTCACAAATACTATATATATAAAATATATAAAAAATACAATGTGGGTACTTGAATGAAAGGTCTCGTGAACTATTGACATTTTTGAAGATATAATAGAAGATAAGCTCATCCCGATGTTACACTCCTCAAGACCTTTCATTTGAGTACCCACATCAATTTTTCATATATTTATATATATGTATATATGAAAAATATATCAAAAATGCATGTGGGTACTCAAATGAAAGCTCTTAATGAGTGTTATCTCAGGGTGAGCTCATATCTTTAAAAATGTCAATAGTTCCCAAGATATAAGGTCATTTGTTAATTTTGTATATTGAGAACTATTGACTTTTTTAAAGATATAAGCTCATTTCAATGTTATACTCATCGAGACCTTTCATTTGAGTACCCACATGACATTTTATAAGCCTATTAACGTATATAGTAGGGTGGGTCAAAAAAATCGATTTTTTTTTTTTAACTTCTAATATTGAAAAGTTGGTTCTCAGGCACCTCTAGAATATGCTCACCAAATTTGAGCTCTTAATATTGATAGGAAGCTTATCCGCATCACAGTTTTATATTTTTTGTTAGTCTTTTATAAAAAAGATCATATCTCACTATTGATTAATTTTTTCATCAAATTTTTATACACATTTTTGTAGGAAATTGAATGATCTACAAAAAAGATCTGATATGTGTAAGTGATTACATTAACCATTTCAGTGATATCCGAGATCAAAGTTTAAGAAATTTAATGTAGTAGGAAATTTAAAAAAAAAAATTTTTTTTTGATAAATTTTTTGAACTTTGATCTCGGATATCTTTGAAATGGTTAATGTAATCGCTTACACATATCAGATCTTTTTTGTAGATCATTTAATTTCCTACAAAAATATGTATAAAAATTTGATGAAAAAATTGATCAATAGTGAGATATGATCTTTTTTATAAGAGACTAACAAAAAATGTAAAACTGTGATGAGGATAAGCTTCCTATCAATATTAAGAGCTTAAATTTGGTGAGCATATTCTAGAGGTGCCTGAGAACCAACTTTTCAATGTGAGGAGTTAAAAAAAAAAATAATCGATTTTTTTGACCCACCCTAATATATATAGTATTTATGAAATATATAAATATGAAAAATTGATGTGGGTACTCAAATGAAAGGTCTCGATGAGTGTTACATCGGGATGAGCTTATATCTTTAAAAATATCAATAGTTCTCAAGATACAAGGTCATTTCTCAATTATGAACAAAAAAAATTTTACACAAATTTTTTCTTCTTCTTATTATTATTATTATTATTATTATTATTATTGTTATTGTTATTGTTATTATCATCTCTCAGTTTCTAAATACAACTAGAAAAAAATTGATAATAATAATAATAATAATAATAAAAATTAAATTTATAACCTTCTCAAAATTCTCTTGACATTATACCTTTAAAACAAAAAACTAAATACAAAATTCAATTTAAATAATTAATCAAACTATCAAAATGTCAGACTTATTACCCTTATAAATTTCATAAATACCTAACCCGAACTCCCATCAGAAAATTGCATGAAACTCTAATTCTCAACTAAATAATAAACTAAAATTTCAGGTCTTCCAAGCAGCGTACAACTGGATAACCCACGACATAACGTCTCGCCGTTGCTACGTGTTCGAAATCCTGGGGCACATAAGACTGCGGCTGTGCTCATTAACGCGGTTGGAGTCGGTAATAATAGATTGCAAGGACGCGAGCTTGATAGTAGCTCTGCGGTCGATCCAGAAGGACCTGGTGTCTAACAAAGGATGCCTGGTGCCACTGCGAGCGCAGCCTCGACTGTGCGCGAAGAAGAACATCCTGGTGATAGGAGGCTCTAAAAGAGAGCACACCTCGGACAGTTGGGCTCGGGACGCGGAGAGCACTTACGAGACGATAGAAAAATACGACACCTTCACGGGGCAGTGGAGCGAAGTCGCGCCTTGTGGAATCGGGAGGATCCTTCCTGGAGTTGCACTTTTAGATGGGAAGGTCTACGTGGTAGGAGGCGAGCTGGAGTCTTGCATAATTGCCAATGGCGAGTGTTACGACCCCAGGGACAATGTTTGGAGCTCGATTGCCTGCATGATTGAGGCCAGGTGCGAGTTTGGGCTCTGCGAGCTTGATAACAGCCTGTACGCTGTTGGTGGGTGGGTCGGCGAAGACATCGGTGGCACTATTGAGACTTATGATCCCATTAGCAATACTTGGTCTCTACACGGCGAACTTCCTGAGCCACGTTTTAGTATGGGAGTTGTCGCATATGAAGGCTTGATTTATATTGTCGGGGGCTGCACGCACGAAAGCCGCCACCGTCAAGATGTTATGAGTTATAATCCCGTTACCAGAGAATGGAATTATCTTGCACCCATGCTAACACCTCGCTCGCAAATGGGAATTACTATTTTAGATGGGTATATATATGTCGTTGGTGGCATGAATAAGAATCAAGAGGTACTCACGTCTGTTGAACGTTACTCATTTGAAAAGGTAATTGTTTTTTTTTTATTAATTTAAAAGCTTCCAAATATTAAACAGATGTGTTTTTATTGTAAATTTATTTATGGTTTTTACTGACAAACTATAAGAATTTTTTTGAAAAAAAATCCTTGTATCTTGTAAACTCTTGAGATTTTTGAAGATATAAGCTCATCCTGATGTTACACTCATCAAGAGCTTTCATTTGAGTACCCACATGAATTTTGATATTTTTCATATATAAATATATATGATATATATAAATATATGAAAAATTGATGTGGGTATTCAAATGAAAGGTTTTGATGAGTGTAACATCGAAATGAGCTTACATCTTGAAAAATGTCAATAACTTAGAAACGGCCTTGTATTTTGTAAACTATTGACATTTTTTAAGATATAAGCTCATCATGATGTTACATAAATCAAGACCTTTCATTTGAGTACCCATATCATTTTTTCATATATTTTATATATTTATATATTTCATAAATACCATATATATAAAATATATAAAAAATGCCATGTAGGTATTTCAATGAAAGATCTCAATGAGTGGAACATCAAAATGAGTTTATATCTTAAAAAATGTCAATAATTAAGAAATTACATTGTATTTTGTCAACTAATGACATTTTTAAAGATATAAGCTCATCCCGAGATTATATTCATCAAGACCTTTCATTTGAGTATCTACATCAATTTTTTTCATATACTTTATATATCTATATATGTAATACCATATATGTAAAATATATAAAAAATGCCATGTGGATACTCAAATGAAAGGTCTCGATGAGTATAACATCAAAATGAGTTTATACTTTAAAAAATGTTAATAATTAAGAAATGACCTTGTATCTTCAGAACTATTGATATTTTTTAAGATATGAGCTCATCCTGAGATTATATTCATCGAGACCTTTCATTTGAGTACCTACATCAATTTTTCATATATTTTATATATTTATGTATATTATATATATGTATATATGAAAAATATATCAAAAATGTATGTGGGTACTTAAATGAAAGCTCTTGATGAGTGTAACATCAGGATGAGCTTATATCTTTAAAAATGTCAATAGTTAAGAAAGTACAGTGTAATTAGTGACTGCAAAGTTGCTAGTTTTATATAATCATATATAATGTTTTTTGTGTTTTTTTTTTCGGACGAAAAAATGTTAACTACATCTAAACTTCTTCCTTTTTTTAGTTTAGAAATTTTATTGAGAGTAATTTAAATTAACTCAAAGTAATATAAGTCTTTGTACTGCTTTGTGACTCCTAAAATTCGATTAGTTTATCCAAAACAGAAGATATAATTACAAAGCCAGCTGAAACAGTTAACGGGCTAATGTTGGCCATTATTCTGTGTAACTTTGGTCCGTACAAATATCCTGGGTTGCTTTACTTGCTAAAACGTATACTGATACGAAACATTTCAGAGTTAACTTTGTAATAAAAATTACAAACTTATAAAATTTATTATTTAACTCCTCTAAATTTTTTTTTGTTTCCTTAATTAAATTTTAAGAATTTTTTTAACAAATAAATTATCGCAAAAAAATAAAAAATGCAATTTTTTTAAATAAATTTAAGATACATTTATAGATGCATAATTAAAAAAAGACCTTGTATCTTGTAAACTATTGACATTTTTAAAGATATAAGCTCACTCCGACATTACACTCCTTGAGACCGTTCATTTGAATACCCACATCAATTTTTCATATATTTATATATACTATATATATGTATACATGAAAAATATATCAAAAATGCATGTGGGTACTCAAATGAAAGCTCTTGATGAGTATAACATCAGGATGAGCTTATATCTTTAAAAACGTCAATATTTAA